CATCTCTCAATAACACAAATTTAAGTTCATTTGCTCAAACAGCTTAATAAACAGTTGAATATTTGGTGTAATTTTGTATTTCATTCAATGTTTAAATAATTCATCTGTAGAAAGCTATAAAATTATTTAATGAAAGTCTTCATTGGTTGGCCGATGGGGCCCCGCGATAGGAGGCTAACAAAGCTGCATTTTTTTGAACGAAAAACATACGATATAGTTGGTTAAAAACAACTGAATGGGTAAAGATTTACAAAGCTATAAATAAAGGAAGAATATTTGTTGTGACATGCTCTCCGTGTTATATTTCCTCCAGCATTAAAACAAATTAAGCTTATGTATAGAAATATTAAAAGTTTTGAGAGGAAGTCTTTGATTTGTCGATTCTTCGAGAAAAATTCTTGTCAAAAAAAAGATATACGATTGTTTGCTAAAAGAAAAAACACACCTGAATTCTTGAAGAACACTTCTTGATCCATATTTCACTACACAAAGGTTTTTTTATTTGTTGTTGGTCTAGAAATTGTCCTAAGAGATGTGCATTTGAGAGCGGCATTTCCGACTCGTTTTGCTTCGAAATCATGCGAGATCCCTTTGTTGTGTAAACGGACGCCCGTACGTACGTACGGAAGTGACGTAGTAGTCAAGCCATGAAAAATCAACTCCATGGTTTACCATAATTTCTCAAGTATGGAGCTCCGCTAAAAACAAATAAAAAAGAGCAACAAAAAAACTATATTTCTAAAAAAAAAAACAACCTAAAACATCATCTTATGTGAATTATTATTATCGCGCTCAACAAAACCCTCTTCCAGTTTAAAAAGAGTATATTTCTCCAAGTCTCACAGAAACGCCGGTGGCTATAATGTGTTTGAAAAAACAGATCGATTTAATGCATTAAATGAATGATTCTTAGTTACGTATTATACTGTGCCGAGTGTCTGATTCATTGGTTCCTCTCACGGCGATATTCACACTTTCTCTTTATTCCATGCAATTTACATACAAAGACAATAATATATATAAATCATTGGTGGCATATTATACACCGAATCGAAATATGGCGACCAATTTGAATAACTGACTGCGACTAATAACTGACTGCGACTAATAACTGACAGCGACTGACTAGCCTCCTATACATGTGGAAATGCTTTTGTGTTTCCATGTGAACACGAGGCTAGTCAGTCGCTTGTCAGTGCAGAACAATAGTTATTCAAATTGGTCGCCATATTTCGATTCGGTGTATTTGCCGAACTGAGCGTTGTGCCGCTAAAACGGACAGCTCTAAGATTCTTATTATAAAATACCATATATTGGAAATCACTTTGCCAAAAGTTTATCATGTTAAAGATGTGAATTGGTTTTCTTCAAGCAAAATTATTCGATTTCCAGGCGCGTTTCGGAACCGTTACCTTCTTTCTTTTTTTAGTTAGTCTGAAAAAGGAAATTTCGTAAGCCTTCTCGAGTAATGTTACCATGGTTACAAATTCCAAAACAATGACGTTATCTATTTCTGATATTAAAGTCGACTCATCCCCACCACACTGTCCTACAGTTCCCTTTCTCGCAAAGTGCAAGTTTTTTTTAGTTAGTCTGGAAAAGGAAATCTTGTAAGCCTATTCGAGTAATGTTACCATGGTTACAAATTCCAAAACAATGACGTTATCTATTTCTGATTTTAAAGTCGACTCATCCCCACCACGTTGTCCTACAGTTTCCTTTCTCAAAAAATTGACTTTAATCCATCCTTAAGTTTTTTTGGCAATAGGTTTGTAAATAACCCCTAAACACCTGCTGCGTTCTAACAATAGAGATAGTATCAATCGACTGATTTATTATGTATACATCAGCTCATGTATATGAAGTACTATCTGGTTTACGTGGATTTAATCAATGCTAAAGGGATTCAAGTATTTAGTTAGAGCTACCAAACTTCACGTAAATATATATCTGTTGTAGTACACCATAAATCACAGAACAAGAATAAATTCAAGAATTAATGGGCGTGAAATTTGAAAAAAAAAAAAAATTATCGTTCATAATCTACACATAAAGCACATAAATGAATGAATGAACGAACGAATGAATACTGTAAGCACCATGTAATACGGTCCAGTGGTAGGAGCTTCTGACTAGCAAATAGAAAGTCAGCCGGTTTGAATCTCGCCTGGAGCTCCGATTATTTTCAAAAGTTTGTTTCAAGAAACATAATTTACATCTTTATATGTAACAACAACAACAATAACGATAGGAGTAACAACAGCAGCGGCTACAACAATCACAACAACAAAAGCGGATGAAGCGAAAAGATTATAGCCAAATATGCTTTTCTATTTTTGCTATTTTATGTTTAAACTTTGAACCTGTAAAACGGTAAAACGGCTTACCAAAACTCCTGTAGACCTGTATCTCCCTAATTTATCATCATAAGTGAATAAGTTGTGGTTAAATGTCAATGAAAAAAGGATTGTTTGATAGACATTAAACACTAAAATATCAATTTAATTTAGAGTTAGAAATACGTGGCTAATCTAAAGTTGATATACTTTGGTTTCTGTTAGAAGTTTTCTTGATGGCCTTGGTTAACCGACCTACAATTCAATTTTTTTTTTCCGTTTCAGAATTACGGCAACCGAACAAGGGTTTACGCAGATGAAATTTTGCACCTGTTATTCGAAAGACAACTTTTTGGTTGTATATATGGACATAGTCAGTGAATTCTAACAGAAAAGTCAGGCTGCGTTTTTGAAGGAGATGGAATAGAGCGAGACGGAGGATAGATTAATGATGATTGTCCGTGTCGGCTTTAAGATAGTAATAGACAAAAAGAATTAAAAAAAGTAGTGGTGAGGCTACAATTAATATTTCGAAATCATTCTCAAAAAGACAAGGGACATTTGCCTTAAGATTTGTGGTGCAGATACCGATCCAAGCTGCAAAGAATAAGTGGTCAGTGCGCGATAGAGTATAGTCTGTGTTCAAAGGATATTTTCATTTTTCTGTTTTATTTATCTATTGCCATAATAGTAATACCAGCTGCATCCCCGAAAACCCTATGTTTTGCTTTTTATGCTTTACACCAATTACATTAGGCTATAGCAAGTCATTGACTAATAAACGACTCGCTAGGCGATTGGTTGATTGATATGTAAATTACAACGTCGGTCCTATTCGCATCCATAATTTTGGAATAATTTTACGTGTGAGAGAAGCTTTGTTGAAGTCATAGATTAGATATGGCTCGACCTTAAGTGAGAGGTAAATGATGGTGTTTTGATGTTGAAAAAATTGGAAAAACCACATTGACAAATGGAATAATGGCGAACGAGGCAAATGATGGTCTTCAAACGGGAGATTCAAAGTTACGGGCCACCGCCACAGAACTACTTCAGCGGAAATGTAGACCAAATGTTTCAGAGCCTGTAAGAACGAGCTACAATTCTCTGTTCTGTCTAGCCGAGACAAACCCTGTACGGTTTTACTGCAAGAAAATCGTGGAATCGAAATATCCTTTTTTTTTCAAAAAAAACCGGAGTTTTTTTTAGAGTTTTTATTGCATTATATTTTTAGTGATGGTTTTTATGATGTTTTGTTTCACATTGAATATGATTATTACAGGTTTAAGATGGTGATTTATTATTGCAGTTGGCCTCAATCGCAAAGCTCTGCTCCTTTTAACTTTTTCGCACTAATCTTTAACTACAAAATAAAATAATAATGATGTTTGGCCGAACGTTGCTTTAAACACAATAGATCTTCAGCGTTACAGGTGAAATATATCTCATTTCACTCTGGTTCAAATCCTCAACAATATTTTCTGTCCAAACATCAACTCGGGGGAATCGAAGGGAAAATCCATCGCAGTGTACGCTTGTCGGCTCTTATGTACCTCTTATTTTGGTTCGTTAATAAAATTGAAGAGTTCTTGTATGTGATTTCCCTTGACCGTTTCATAAGAGATTCGAATATTTTATACTTATAACCATAGCTGTAAATTGCATAGTTTTAACGTTGGATAGTCCTCTTCCAGAAGGTGACACGACTGAATTAAATGAACAACTGGTAAGTTGAGCATAGATTGTCGTTTTGATTTGACTGAGAACGTCCATTCTGCACCTGAGCGAATGGACCGAATTATTATCTGGGTTAGTTTTATGGTTTAAATTTTCAACATTATGTGATATCATAATTGAATTTGAAGCATACAAATTTACTGATGAACTGTGAGGCAATAAATTAACCCCTAGGTATATATAAATGTATAAATATATAAATTTATATATCAGTACAACGGGTTCCTTTTTTTTTTTTTTTTTTCCCCCAAAAGGAAATAGCGGAAAAAGTGTTCATCGTCATCTACTGCATCGAAGCAGCGGCTAAGATCATAGCTTTAGGATTCGCCTTCCATCCAAATGCTTACTTACGAAATGGATGGAATATCTTAGACTTCGCTGTCGTTGTCATCGGGTGAGTATACTTTGTATCTAAATTATCAATGTATATTTTAAACCTACATTATAGACAACAAACCTATATATTTTCCAACACTTTGCTCAAACATCGGGAAAAATTCCTGTATTCGATATGTCGAATTAAAGAAAAAAATGATATGTTTTCATATAAGAATAAAAAACTGTCATGTGAAGAGAATCGAATATATGCGATATCTGAGGATGTTCAGCTATATCTTTCTTGAATAAAAGGTTTATTTATTTATTTATTCACTATGTAAGAGCGTTCATATATTTACAATTATATGAAGGCATCATCGTCCTTTTAAAACTTACAAGTGGTACGTTCATCAAAGAAGTCCAAAGTTGAAAAATGAAAAAGACTTTTTTCAGTCTTTTCTGCTTTCATTCTCATTTAGTTTATCGACAAAATGAATCGTGTGATGCGAATGTTCATTTACAATGAGGATCTCCAATTGTCACGTTGTCAAGGAAGTTAGCATTGTGACAATACAAAAGATTTCTTACATAATTTAATACTTTGCTCGACGTAACCGACTTCACTACTTCTGTATTCCATTTGAAGCCCGAATGATTATTTCAAGATCAAGGATATCGGAGTTTAAATTGTCATTTACCTGGGTCAAGAACATACACTTACTTGACTCAAGACACTTCAGGCTAGCGTCAAATAATTTTATGTTGACGCGATTGAAATTCTACGTTAAGCCGAAGTTAATAAGTAATACAAATGTATAACTCAATGGCGACGGTGACCGACGTCGACAAATAGTATTGTTTCTATTCTAGGATAATTCAGTTAAAATTCCAATGTCTTTTTGGAAAGACAAGAAAAGAAAACACCGGCACAAATACGAAGAAACTGGTAATATTATAAAAGCGATTGATGTTTTCTGAGACATTATGAAGCAAATCATGCCACAAGATGCGTTGTATTCAAAAGAAATTAAGCATTTTTCTTGTTGATTGTTGATTAGGGTAAAAAGATCTAAATTACTTTTTCGTCTGATGGAAAGCAAACGTAAAATTTTCTTTTGTGAGCATTCATAGTTTGCAGTCTTTGATGGAGACTAATCTACATCTGCTGAGTAAGTTTTAATGTATGATAGTCATTAATGTTACACTAAAAAACCTTGATTTCTTTTAAATTGCTTCTTTATGCGGGTCAGTCGAGACTGAATCTAAATGAGAGAATCAAGCGAAATGCCCTTTGTCATGTAATGGTGTAAAGTGTTAAGATTGTATTTTTCAGCTACTGCTTAAATTATTGACACATTAATGTGTATTTTCAGTCTCTTTGTTGTCGCTCGCTCGCTCTCTCTCTCTCTCTCTCTCTCTCTCTCTCTCTGTTTGCCTGTTTAGTATCTCTGACTCTCCGTATCTTGTGCGCGCTCCCTCTTCCTTCTCTCCTTTGAATCCGATTGATAAGTGATGTGTCGGACTGTTTACGTTTCCGATACGAATAAGAATTAGACGAATAGTAGCATTATGACAAGGAAGAGAATAGCTATTTGTATGATTCAGCTGTAATGAATGTCATAATTTGTCCGCATGCTAAAATAATGTCTCGCCCTCATGACCAATCAAAAAAGCATTTAAGGAAAGTAAAAAAAAAAAAAACACACATTGTCTTCGGTTTTCATACTGAGTCAATACTTTTTATTTCTTCTTATTCTACTCTTTCTCTCTCTCTCTCTCTCTAATTTCTCAGTGACCATTATATAAAACCAATGCACCGAAATCATTTCGATTGTTGGCAGTGCGGAAGCCAACACGTTGTCAATCATTATCCACTGCTGGTAAACCATTACAGTGTAATCAAACAAACCAAAGATGTGTTATACTTAAACCGTGCGAGTACATAGTCAAAAAACCTCACTAAATCTAACAATAAACCAATACAATTTAATAATAGTGTAAACATAATCTATCACACGCCAATCCCGTATCAGTAAACCATTGACATCAGATGGAAACCAACACATTTGGCAACACTCATACTCGATGTGGCCAGAAAAGTTTATAACTGAACTATTACACATAAGTGAGAACTGACTACAAAGCGTCTATCGATGATAAAATATTGAGCTATACAGTATGATTTTTTTTTTTTGGAAAAAATACACCATTAGGTACTAACCATTGTATTCTAGAGTTTTTACAGCAAACCTAAAATCTAAAATATCAGGTGTTTTTTTTTTTTTTTTTTTGCTTGGTAACTTAGTAGACTGATCGATGTAAATTATGTTTCATCAAGCTTGGATTTCCCCCCCGAGCAAATCTTGCTTGACAAAATTAAAACATAATTTATGTATTGATCTAGCCTGAGCCTGATTGTTTTAATTTATATGCAGTTTCAAAATCAAAGTACGTATACACGCCACCAGAGTTACCTAGCCAAAAACTTGGGTTTTACCTTTATTTATAAAATAATTGGGATAGTACGCGCCCTACGATTGGTCGAAAACTATGTTTGATGAGGGTATCAAAACAATTTCGCGTCCTTTACAAATACATCAGAGTAATACGAAATTTATTTCGTTTCTTGACGTGTTTTTTATTTTATAAAACAGATCAAAAAACAGTTTCCCGTGTTTGATACTCTGATCAAAACACTTGGGATGTCGAGGGAACACTCAAGAAGCTGGAAACCACTCCGCTACACGTCGTGGTTTCCTACGCTCCTCTCAGAGTATCAAACAGGAAAAAATGTTTTTGATCTGTTAAAACAAATTCAGTAATATATAGAATTATGAATCCCGACTAGAAGCAATCAATTGTCAGGTAATAAGCCAGATTGTGCTTGTTTTTAAGCATGACTTAGAAATTTTGAAGAGTTCTCGCGTTTATTCTTTCTCTCCAATATTTCGTTTTGGTTAAGAAAATCAGTTTCCGTTTCCAAACACCATAGAGATTTTGCTAAATTTTGTTTCATTGGCATTATTGGTAATAATGGTTTTGTCATGTTTCTTTTATTTATACACTCGATTGCAGAAACGTTGTAGTATACATTTATACAAATATCTAATTTATTCAGTATATTTAATGATATGCAAAACAGAAAACTCGCTTTATTTATTAGTTGTTTCATTCAATAAACGTCAAAATATCTTATACTTGTCTATTAGATCGTACAGATTATAGATCAGCTGGTTTTAAGCGTTGAAAATGGTTATTTTGCATTATGCATCTCATTAGATATTTGTATAAACAGTATAAATGTATACTACAACGTTTCTGCAATCGAGTGTATGTCACATTATTTTTAAAGTCCAAAATATTTGCGCCTAGATTTATTGGTTGAGCTTGCAGTGATTCGATAAGTTTGAAAATGGATCCTATAGTAGTTACTCAATTCTTTATTTTATTTTCATTAACACCTCTTCAAGTTCTTGTCTAAAATATGCTGGCCGGTGTTTAACTCACTGCACACAATACATTACCTTGTCATAAGAATATAACTTTTACCTACCGACTCATTCATTAATAATAAATAATAATAATAATGGGATTAACAGTGGATTCAACAGAGTGGCTCTTCTTCCACTGGATTCCAATTGGAATTTAGAAGTTGATTTTTGCGGAGTGAGGAAAGCCAGAGAACCAGGAAAACCCTTGAACTAAGCACAGGAGAGAACCAACAAACAACTCAACTCACATACAACACCGAGCTCGTCGGGTCACGAACCCGGGTTGCATTGGTGAGAGGCGAGCSCTCTCACCGCTMTACAATTAACAAAGTAAAAACGGAAGATTTACAAATTTCCTATGTGCTTTGTACAGGCGTTGGGAGTCAATAAAAAACGCAGCTAAAATCACTTTATTTTTTCCGCGTTAGAGCTTAAAGATGTAAGTTTTCACTCCATGACCTTAAGGCCAAATTAGACGGTACGATTTTCGCCTACAACCATCACATGCAAACTGCTCACATCATTCTTACGACATGAGTTGTGTCGTGTATTTCTGTCCTACAACTCACTCAAAACTGTTGTGTGCAACTACAAAATGTTGTAGAGTTTTAAAACGTGATTTTATATCCTGCGATAGTCGTACGTAGTGATAAAAATAAAGTTGATCTTTTAATCGGTCTCTGGAGTAAAGAGAGTGTTTTATTCAAGTGTAAACACGTCGATTACTTCAAAAAAGATGCAAGACACGTAGCGAGTTGTAGGTAAAATGTGGTAGGCGTGTGGATCTGACCTAATGTCGTAAGTATGACGTGAGCMGGTTGCATGCGATGGTCGTAGGCGAAAATCGTACCGTCTGATTCGGCTTTAATTCCGCTTTTAGACATGTAAATTAGCTGAGCCGGGTTTTCCGGGGGGGAGGAGGAGGAAGGGGGGACTTCGGGGTAAAAGTATCGGTTATGCTCGTCAAAAATACCCCTAAAAGATTTTTAATCACCTAAGAGATGCCCTAAAAGATACCAAGAGATGCCGAAATTCTAAAATTTAGTTTTAATGCCATAAAAAATTCGGTAAAAGATACTAAATCGCTGTTTTTACCCCTAAATACGACGAGCATACCCGATACTTTTACCATGAAACCAGAAAAACATCCAGAGGTATATCAAGCGTCTTTTCAAGACAATGTCCTTAGACGGAGTCTTTTGGAGTCAYGCGTACTTCCCAGAAAACCGGCTTGCAAAAATCGTATATGGCGTGTATTATAACAAACTATTTAAGTCTTTGATAAGTGGCAATGCCGATGTCAGCTGTAACATTTTCTTTGTGGCTCAGTTGAGGGTATAAGAATTTCGTGTGATGTAAGGTTAATACACCTCAAAACGTTGGGATATTTCGGTCATGTATTCCTCGGCGCGCTCAAATTGTTCGCGCATGCTAGCTAGTTTGGTTTCAATATTGTAATATAAAGCTAGGTAGTGATTAAACACAATTATTGGGTCGATGAAATCATTYATATTTCATACTTATGTTTTAAGAATGTGCTTCTTGTTTGCGTTCCAGCTTGATTGGACTAATATGGGATAATCAGATAGACAACAGTCTCAATAACCAGAAGGATACCCTTAAGGTCCTGAGAGCAGTACGGGTTTTAAGACCACTTAAAATTGTTTCCGGCATTCCAAGTAAGTATAGTCAAAATCTCATCGCCTTAGTAAAGAATTCCGTTGAATTAAGTAAAAGGCCTTGCATTGGTACTGATTATTTTTGTTATACCAATATTTTTGGTGAATTTCCCTCTGAAGGCTATTGCTTATTTCGCCACYCTCACACATCCATTATGATTTCCAATTTGATCTCATTTTACGTACAAGCCTCGGTAGCCGACCCTCACCCTCCAGTTCCTTGCCTCATCTCCCCCTTCACGTACGAAATGCCTTCTCATCAATAATTAACCGAATTTATGTGSAATCAAAAACTTGTGTATAGTTTACTGTTTTAACTAAAAGTTAARATCAAATTAATGCCCATTCATCAATCTAGCATTCAATGCTCTATTTTTCCCAGGTCTACAAGTTGTAATGAAGACAATATGGAGAGCCATGGTTCCTTTACTACAGATATTAGTTTTAATTCTATTTGTTATTGTAATATATGCTATTATTGGCCTGGAGCTTTTAAAAGGAACATTTCATAATACCTGCTATGATAAACATGGTAATTTGACAATTTTATTATCTGTTGTTTTTCATGCATGCTTGTATTAGTGTTTCAAAAAGTTATCAATAATTCGTAAGCCTATTATCCAATTGAAGTGACCATACACGTCACGAGATAAAGGTGCATCCMATTTGATTAAGACTTAGAGCCTCATTAAGAATCAGACCCCACGATATCTTGCCGAATAGTGCACCTGTCTTGAAATTGTCATGCTSTCTTCAACTYGTGGTAGCTTTTTTGGACTCACTGCGCATGGCGGTGACGTAATAAACTCACTGCGCATGGCAGTGATGTAMAAACCTCTGACAAAGTACAAAAGTCCATGTTCGTTGAAGTTGCTCAATAAACTTTCAGATTGTGCTTTATCAGGGTTAAAACCACTCGGCTACSCCTCGTGCTTCTAAATCTGATAAATCATCTTTATTGTTAATGGGATTTTTTATTGTTGTATCATRAACTGACCGCTTGATGGTTGATGAAGTTAAGTATTGCTAAGAAGATAAACAACATATATTTTTTTATTCCCAGGCAACATCGACCGAACGTTTCTTCTTCCACRAATATGCGATAAAGAATCATCAGGTCGGCAGTGCCCAACAAATCATACATGTCAGAGACATGATGAGATTTGGCCGGGGCCAAAYAAAGGAATAACAAATTTTGATAATATATTTCTTTCGATGTTGACGGTATTTCAGTGCATTACTATGGAAGGCTGGACCGACGTTATGTATAACGTAAGTAAAATTAATATATTTGTGATTGGTACACCATATACGCCTTGCTTTCTCATAGAGAAACATAATCGTTTGTGGTCTAGTTTTGGTACAAACATCGTGTTCGTGTTGCTTGCGCCCAATCTAGTCCAGGATGCATCTTGTTTCAATCTCATAAAAGACCTACAGGTGTATATGAGGTACATCATCGATAAACAATAGAATAAAAATCATATGATATACATACCGAGATTTACTCAGTAAAAACCTGTTAAATATTTATTTGTTCGTTTACTGCTCCCAACCAATCACAATGCGCGTAACGCTTTTTCACGTCCACGATACGTCCAATCAGACGGACGGCAGCAACTGGCTGTTTATATTTTTGTGTGTGTGAGACTTTCGCCCACTAAAATAATAATAATAATAATAATAATGATAATAATAGTAATAATAATAATGATAATAACGGTTTAATGAGGGCATTTCTACAAGGTAG